TGTGTGTGTGTGTGTGTGTGTAAAATATATAGAAAATAGGAAAGAACTCGTTAGGTAAATAATCCAAAGTTCTTTAGTATTTTTGTTATTATTTTTAAAAAATAGTGCTCGATACAAAAGTAGAGCATAAATATAATTATTTATTTAAAAATATGATTCCAACACTACATAAGAGTTCTCATGTTTCAAAACAAGAGCCGAAAACTTCAATATAATTATTTGAATTAAATTGAATTAAAGTACCAAGCTATGTTCCATCTTCAAGCGAAATTTTTTGGGGAATCAAAATATATATATAAAGCCATTTCAACTACAAAATAATGAGACTTTGCAGTCAGTACTGCGGTTAAATTTTCCTTATTAAAATGTTAAAAAAGTTAGTCATTTTTATTTTTTGCTTTTCTTATTTTCATTTTTTCGAAGCTCTAATACAAATAAGTGGTTGAGTCTAACAACGCAAAAAGCCTGTCTATATCTCTGAGATGAGGTATTATGACGATTTTTATCCTCATTTTCATTGCCATATTCACACCTGAATAAACACACCAATAATGCCACAAAGACACAAGTGCTACTGACTGTGGAAGGAAATGAGATGATTTTAGTGAGGAGAAAGGACAATAAAAGAACAGGGTTCAAGAAGACAGAAAATGGTGATTGATGTTGCATTTAAATTTTTGATGATTGTAAATGGCAAGAAAGCAAATTCCACATCCGAAACGTTGTGAATATGTATTGTAGCTTACCTACGGACGATAATGAGTATGTCCCCATTCATATAAATACAGTAGTAAATACTGTATATGTCAGTCTGCAGTTGGAGATTCGTTTCCAGCTGTGCTCCGGGCAGAGATCATCTCGGGAAACAGCTACCCGACGCCGTTTTATACGGGGTCTACGGGCTTGGGTACCCCACATTAAATTCGGCCTTGTGCCATATCTGACCGCGTAGGGCGGTTTGTAGATATCCTGCAGTTGGAGATTCATTGTGGAATTCACTTGACTCACTTCTAGCAGTTGACTACTTCTTCTACGCGCCGCTGGCGAATCTTATATGTGTTGTTCTTGTCCTAAGTATTATCGTTCATTACCAACCTTTGTTTGATTATTCTATTCAGTAACCTTCCCTAGGTTATAACAATACGGCAATCAAGATGAGGATAATCGTCAGAATAATGTAAACAACTCAAAAGGCATATTTGTTTTGTTTATTATTTTTATTGGCCTAAAGATTTTGACCAGTAGTGTATATTTATACAACAAATTTTCTGAACGCGAATGGGTAAAAAAAAAAAAAATTAATGTTCAAAATATACGGAATGCCTACCTTGAAATCATTTCTGCTGTCAAAAGTTTCACAAGAAATCTTATAAACAATTGTTTGATTCCATCTGTTATCTACAGACCCACAATTGTCGAAGTACTTTCTAAAAAAAAAAAACAAAAAAAAAACAAAAACAAACTATTTCTGTTCTCACAACGTCTTTTATCATCCACGGATCCTATTTCTATATGGTGTGGCCTTTCAGAACATAAGCAATCATGGCTCTCCACAATTTCCTGTCCTTCGTAGCGCTTAATAAATTTTGTTTTTATGTTATCTCTCCTAAACCTTGTTCCGCCATCTATTTACTCAATCTCTCCAGATAGGTTATTTGTTGTTTTCCTCTGTCACTCTTGCCTTCAATATGTCCTGTGGATATCAGATTTTCCAATCCTTCTCTCCTCATTATGTAGCTTAGAAACTTTGTCTCTTTTTGATTCTAGGCATAAGTGTCCTTCTTGCTTCCCTTTTCTATAAAACTTTCTTGTTACTGATCTGTTTAGTTCCTAAAATTTTGATAAAAGCGTCTATCAGCTACCATAATTATTCGTGTCTAATATACACTCACCCCACATTTGTAAGCATAAAAGTTAGGGGTGCGTATTATATACGAGAAGTAAATTTTTAACTATTTTTCCGTTGCATACGTCGTCATATTAGAAACAATATAAGCGAAATAGGTTACATCAGGTGCGACAGAAGTACCTCCCGGGGAGACATTAGTGGCAATGGTGTCTTCATCGAGCTAACGTCTTACCATTATGTGGGAGTTATTTCTGCCGCACCCTGTATCAATTTCTAAACTAATATGTAATACAGAGTTTAAAATCTCTGTACAAACACTGCATTTATTTTTTTAAATACATGCAATCACATATTTGAAGCACATTTAGTCGGCTTCTCTACTGTGTCAAAGATGGACGTCATGACAATGACTATAGCGTGAGCGAAGTAGATGTCTTCGTCATCTTCGATGTCGTCGTCCACAGAGTCATTTTATCCTTCTTCCTCAAAAAGGATGTCATCTTCACTGCCGTCCAGTCGGAGTAATATCCACTTCTATTTTATGCAACGACATACAAATAGGTATTAATTACTGTACGGTGTGTGCGTGTGTTTATAATTTTATTTCTGCGAGTGTGAGCTTAGTTTCGTCGAAAACTTGTTCTGTTTTTGTGTCGACATATCCATGACTTTTCTCTCAGTACTGCATAAATTGTTTCAAAACATGATATAAATTATATAAATTCTTATTATTAGTCTATACAAGCCGGATGAGAAGTTGAAAAATAACTGTTAAAGTTAGGTTAAATTGGCCTAATACAAAGTATTATACATCAGATTTTAAAAAATTTTTTAGACCAAATGTCAGAGTGCGTATTATACATGAACAGTTATATTACTTGCAGCAGATAAATAGAAGTACAAATCTGTCTATATTTCTGAGATGAGGTATTATGTACACCATTTACATTATTCGGACTGTTGTCCTCATCTTTGTTATCATATTTATTACAACGTCTCGGCCTTCAGTATGTGTCTAAATTTCTGAGATGAGGTATTATGTACATTATTTACATTATTTGAACTATTGTACTCATCTTTGGCACCCTATTTATTACAACATTTCGGCCTTTCAGTATCTGTCTATATTTCTGAGATGAGGTATTATGTACATTATTTACATTATTCGGACTATTGTCCTCATCTTTGTCGCCATATTTATTACAACATTTCGGCTGTTGTACGCTCAGGCCTTCTTCAGGTGGTTGGAATGTCGAACTGTGCCGTTTATTTCGCTCACTGAAGACACATGGCACAGTGGATAAAGGCGTTAGTTAGATCCGGTGACAGGACCAAAAGGGTGTGAGTTCAATACCCGGCTAAGGCAGTGGAGAACTTTCAGAGGGAAATTAGCAGGAGATAACTGATAACTGACATCCATTAAACATGGCACGTGGAACTAGAACAGTCTATCCCAGTGAGCGAAATAAAGGGTTCAGTTCGACATTCCAACCACTTGAGGAAGGCCGGAGCGTACAACGGACGAAACGTTGTAATAAATATGGCGACAAATATGAGGACAATAGTCTGAATAATGTAAAGAAGTACACATATTACTTAATTAACCAAAGCAGACCCAGACAGATGCAAGCAGACCGAGACAGATGCAACACAATGTTAGAATAAAAAGATTGAAATTCTGACAAAATATTTAAAATTTTATACAGAGAGTTGTCACAATATAATCAAAAGCTACCTTTCTGAATAAACTTACTTCATAGTAAATGCCTGCAGCGCCATCAAGCGAGAAAAATTAGAACGAAATTTTTGGAGCTCACATGCGCGTGTGTTTAAGCGTATTAAACAATCTACGTATAGATACATCGACCAAGGTTAGTGGAGGGATAGATACAGATATAGTAGGCGACCATTCATAATGGTTGCTTCCTTTTGGATCATTGTCCTTTTGCGAGCAGCGTTTGGAATGGCTTAACAGACCAATGGTTTTATGGCACTCTTCTGTGACAGATGACAGAAAAACATATCCAAAGAAATACAGTCAGACGAACAGGGAGGAGGAAATAAATTAAAACGGACAGACACACAATAATAATAATGGGAATAATGTAGGCACACTGAAATTATATATATATATATATGAAAAAAATTTGGAAAAAACAAACAAAAATCCTTAAATGCAATTATGTTGTTTAAAATGAATGAAATGTCGACGTCTGACGTTTCGGTTTAATAAACCTTTTTTCAAGACAATATTCATTAAAATACAATTCATCGTCTTTTTCAAATTGAACTGAATTGTATTTTAATGAATATTGTCTTGAAAAAGGTTTATTAAACCGAAACGTCAGACGTCGACATTTCATTCATTTTAAACAACATAATTGCATTTAAGGATTTTTGTTTGTTTTTTCCAAATTTTCTTCATTCTGTCGGATTTATATCCATTTACATTTGCTTACATTATATATATTATAGATTTTTACATGTGCACAAAAACACTTACCCACTACAAAGATGCATTCTTGTTTCGATGCCTTTTGCATCTCGGCTGGTGGGAACTAAAAATGGTTATGGACAATTCTATTAAAAAAAAAAAAAGCAGTCTATAGTACGTCATATCCTTAAAAGTCTATAATGAGCTACTCCTTAAGAGAAAACAGAGAGAGGTAAAGAAGAGGGAAAAGAATGAAAAGAAAAGGAAGTTACAGAATGAGATAAAAGTAGTTTTGATACTATGCAATAGTCAGATATTCACGTCCCTACGTTAAAACTCTAAGCAAAAATGAGGGATAGATAGAGAGGGGTAAGA